CTTGGAGGATGTTTTTCCTTGGAAGAAAAGGAGCTGAGGATCCTCACAGTAATACAGATCTAGACAGGGACAGGACTGACAACATCTTAGCTAGAGAATTGATCCTCCTTTAGGAAAGCATATATGATGAATCAATTTTCTTCCTTTTTTTAAAAAGATGCTACTGCCTACAGAATACTTAATTTTTAAAGGTTCTTAGCACCATTTAAGCTAAGAGCAGAAAGGGAAATGTCTTACTTTGCCCAGCCATACATTGTTGTTGCTCTCCGAAAATGTGCTTAAAATAGATTGCCCTGTAGGCTTTTAATACTCTTCACAGCCAATAAAAGGAACAAACTCATGTAGAGCAGTGCTTGGAACTTGGCTAAATTAAATTAGAGCCTCTTCTATAATATCTGCCCCTCAATGCAGTTATCCCAGACAAAAGTAATGGGTCACAGGATAGATTTCTTTCTTTACTTGAAGAGACAAGTTGTTATTGTAGGCACAGCCTTCTTGAAGGAATTATGCATGCATTTGACACATTTTCATTTTTACTGGATGGTGTGTCACACTTGCTCAAAAAAGTCCTAGTTGGAGGGGTGGGGGTGTCAGTGTCTTGTGCTATTTATGCATCAAGTCTTGAAGATAACGCAAGTACTTATTTTGACTAGATGTGTTCAGTGAGAATATAGTCCAGGAAACTGGCATGGAGTAGGATAGTCTAAAACTGATAATTATGTTCTGATCAAGTTGTTTGTTACTCATCAGTTTCTGTTGTTATTGTAGGGCGTCACATGGTAGGTTTGGCAACTGCACCATGTTTAGTTCACAGACTTGCCTGTAAAAGGTGATCATCCTCAAGCAGATTTCCTATCTTATGAAGTGGGAATTTTTGTGGGCCTGAGATGCTGATCAATCTGATTTTTCATAATTTATAAATTAAAAAAAGACATGACATTGAGGTTTAACAGTATGTTTAATTGGAGTTTTGTTAATGCATGAACTTCCTTTATTTCCCTGCTGCTTTTGTGGTTGTTAGTGTTTGGAAGTATAAGTCTAATGACATGGATACACCTAAGTTTCTGAGCCGTATACTGTTTTTGCCTGGACTACCACAGCATTTAGTTCAGATTTTGCATTAAATTTAACTTCTTTTCAACTACATTGCCTTAAATCTGCATGTTGCATCAGAATCTCAATTGTCTTGTTCTCAAACTGCTCCTCTGAACATCGGCCTGGCTCAAGGCATTAATTATCTTAGTTTCCAGATGTTTTAGTATGATAAATAACAGTAATATAATTTATTATATATTATATAAACTAATGTGTTTTTAAAACCTTACTGCTTTACAAACATCGGTAGCTGAATGTCTGTCATATACTTCAGAACTTTGAAAGAAGCTGGCCTTCAGTCTGCTTTCCTTTGTGTTGAAACAGGCTGCGTGTGCTTACAGTTGTGTCTTAATAAACGGGCAGTAACTAATCCCTGCCTAGAGGGCCTAGTTTCTTAAACCGTTTGGCTCTCTCTTTGACCTGTGTGATGCAGTATGGGAATGCTTTTGACGCTCCTATCAATTTACAGGGTGTTTATTTAGCATCTAAGATACATAGGTTAGCTTATATGGCTAAACAAACAATACATAAGAGCAAATATACTTCGGCTAAAATAAAAGAAGAAAAAGGAAGAATGTAGCATCTTTAAAGGCAATGCACATGTACAAAATGCAAGGCACTTGTTTCATATAATTGTGGTTTCATATTGATTTAAACTAGCCTATGTCCTTTACTAGATTCTCTTCCAGCGCATCAATTCCTTCAGTTCATTGTATGACTGTAGAAACCAAGTGCTGGCATTGATAGCTTTGTGTTTAAAGGAGCTACATTAGCTTACAGGGTGGAGTTGTGTCACGGTTGCTTCAGTTCTGTATGCAATGGATGGAACAGCTTGTGGCTGGCAAGGGGAGAGGGCTGGAAATTGCATCACTTCCAGCAAGGGAGGTGAGAGTGAGACCTCCTCTGAGGGGCAGCTCTGAAACTGTAGTCGTAGCTGACTGCAAATCTGAAAAGAAATAGCAAAAAATTAGAGTAGAAATGGGAAAAAAATGGACCGTCTATAAAAAGCAACCCATGATCAGAAAGGAGCGAGAAAGCAGAGCTGCTTTAGCTCTTCTCTTTGCAGGGAACATAACCACTGTGTGAAGCTGAGAGAATATAGTGGGCAGGGTGTGCTTGCATTTTAAAATGGTAAAGCTGGAGAAAAGTGTGACTTGCCCCCAGCCCTGTCCCCCGTTTTTTCCTGGTTTACCCTTTAGCATCTTTATATGATACTTGCCATGTTAGGTGCAGCCATGGTCTATCTAAACCATTGTCCTGTTTTGATAAGAGCTAGTAGCAAGTGCTGAGGGAGAAGTGTAAGAATTGCAGTGTGTTTAGAGGGAGTTTTTTCCTTATCTTCTGTCTTGGCAGTTTTGGGAAATACCTTTTCCCCCCCCCCCCATGATACAATAGTGAATTAAAGATCTTTGCAAAAGTTCATTCACCATCTCTGTGGGATGTCAGGTATTTGCGAAGCATTTTATTTTGTGATTGGATAGCTATACATACTTTCCTAACAGAGCTGAGTAGTCCCTTGTTGAGCGTTGTACTAAAACTGTTGAACAGCAAAGTATATAAATTGTCTGTAAAACAGAGAAACAGATTCATTGCATTCTTTAAAGCAAGTGAAGGAGTAAAAAACACAGGCTCTTTCTGCCATAAACATTAGGAGAAGTGTTATCATGAGTACAGAAGTGAGTTAACTAACCTTTAAAGCTACAACTGAAGCTAGAATTGCCATGTGAACTTGTCACATCTCTCAAAAAATAATTAAATCTTTTAAAGTTTATTTATTTTCAATCTGGAAGAGAGTTATTCTAGACTTGACCTCAAGTTATTTTGATGACACTAGCAAGAATGTCTTTGTGGGCAAATCCATTTTCATGCGTGTGGTTATTCAAGATACCCTCCTAGAAATCATTATAATATTTAATTAAAATGTTAAAATATTTAATTACTGTAAACCACAGGGGATACCAATGTGGTAATTGCATTTAAGATGGGAAAGAAAAGTAATTTGTTTTTCAAGTCTTGCTGACATTATTAGCAGTGGCATCAGCACTCTACCCTTTTTATTGTTTAAAAACTGATTAACTGCAGCATTACTGTAAAATAGGATAATAAAAAAAGTTAATGTGCATTTTAATACATCACACTAACACAGTGTGACAGTGTTGAAAGGAATGCCTTTAAACACATCTATGTTTGATATGCTACTGACTTGTTACTTGGAGGGGGTATTTTCTTGTTTGGCATGGTTGGCGCTTTGCTTCTGAGTTCTTGTGATGAGCAAAATGTTTATTTTCAGAATACATGCTTTGAAGAATGGTGTAAGTGGGAGAGTATGAAATCTGGTGCATGTTACAGTAGACTGGTGTTAAGACATAAAGAGGATGAAATGCTTTAAATTATTCAGTATTTTTAATGGGAATGTTGTTACTAGTTTAAAGAAAAATAAAACTAATCATGAAAGATAAATGTCTGTCAGCCAAAACTCTATTTGGGAATATCATAAATTGGTTTATGCTATGGAGTTGGTCCTATGAGAAAATAAGTATAAAAAGGTTGTTAGGGGAAAAGTGCGGTCCTGCTTAAGTGCTGTGTGTTTTATGGCTCTTAATTGATACCAAAATGTTTGCTTCATTTGTCTTATCGTTTCAAAAATGTGCCCTGAGCCGGTTCATAGCTGTTACAATCTGTAACTTACACAGAAGGTCAGAGGAGTAAGTTTGGGTTTGAACTCGTGTATGCTTACTTGCCTAGAGCACGGCTCTTGGCCGGGGAGGGGCTCTGGTCCTAGAGTCAGGGTACAAAGCAGAACCCACCCGTGTGTGTTTCCCTCTGCTTCTTGGTTTGGTGTGTGTGAAAGAACAGGAGAAAGTAGCTGCCAGAGGGTGATTCAATAATGATCTTGGGGTGATGGTATTGGGGAACAAGAAGGAAGGGAGCCTGTATCCCAGAAAAACTGGGACTTAGCTGTTCTAGATACTAGGTACCAATGGAAGGGGAGCATCTTGCACGGGGCTGCTGTAGCTGGTGCTCACATCCGTGTCCACCATGGAGACAGGGTAAAAATGGAAGGCAGGCTGTTGGTTATGGGAGAGGCACAAAAGTTCTTAGGAGGCTAATGTGGCTAGGTTTCCTCTGCTCCTAGCTAAGGGGGGAGATGCTCTTCTCGAGGGTGATGCAGAACATGATCCTCAAACAGCTTCTTAAGAAAAGTTTCTCTCACTCTCTTGTTAACAGAGGAAGTGTAGGTGCATCAGTCTCCCAAGGTTGAGATTAGTCTTTCTGAACATCACTGTAGGGATTCTCAGGGGAAGCAATCGCAGTGAAACGCTGCCTTCTGCTTGCTGACGGTAAGCAGAGCTTGTAATGGAAATTATGGCTGAATAATTAAAGATGTTGTTATATACAAAAATCTACAGCTATTTCTGATTTTGGACATGCACATGAGTTTTGAATTTGGAAGTTATGAAGAATCTTCATTTTCTATAAATGCAGGGATTGGGACTACTTTAAAAAAAAAAAAAAAAAGAAAACCAAAACACAAACAAATAAAACCATGACAAAAGCCCTCAAAACCTTCTCCTTTTACCTCCTTTTGGGCTAAAGTCAGTTTGTAAATTAGTTTTGACCTTTTTTGGTTAGACATACAGTGTGTTAACTCATGAATTTTAGCTGAAGTGGAAGTGGAAATTTGAATAGCGAAAGTTCATGCTCATGCCCCAGATTATTTCTAAAACGTGAGAAATTCGGGGAACTACTGATATTGCAAATGAAGTTTTATGTAAATGCACTTGTTTAGTGCTTACCTCCATGTAAAGCTTTCTTCAATATTTTGGTACTTAATAATGGCTTTTGTTGCTCCTACAGTGAATTTACCTTTTTTTTTTTTTTTTTTCCCCTTCCTCTTAAACCAGAAAGAACTCTGCAATATGATACTTGACTGCTGTGCTCAGCAAAGAACATATGAGAAATTCTTTGGGTTACTGGCAGGGGTGAGTTCTGTTTTCAGATTTTACGCTTCGATAGAGAATTTCATTGTTTATTTCTTTGTGTGACAGTTTCATTCATCCATTAAAAGTTAAGTCTTATAATTCTGAAAATGCTTACATTAGTTGATTGCTTGTATTAGGATTCAATTAGGATTGAATTAACATTTTGCCTATGGAAGCATAGTGAATGCAGAATGGGAGAACTCATTTTCTGTTTATATTGTTGCCTTTTTTTTTTTTGCCTCATTATGGTAGAACAATGAATCAGTGGCTAGGGTATGGTACTATAAGGCATACAAGTATCAAGAGTTACCAGAAAATACGCTTTTTACAGTGCAGAAATTTAACTTTGGAGACTCTTGTCTTTTACCACTTTGTTCAAAGCTGACTAGTAAGTTTTGTTTAGAGGACAGGACTGAATGCTTGCTGTCCTGGGACTGTGGGTGGCTGGTTTGTCTGTTTTTCAGTACACAGCTACCTCTTTGGTTTTGTGTAACTGATCACTAACGTAGTTGCAGTTATTTCTTAACTAAGTTTTCCTTATCTATGATATTGACAGGTCCAACTTGTTAGGATGAAATACTTGTCAAGGGAGCAAGTTATGCTGAAATGAAAGGGAGTGGGGTTTTTCCATTTCTATGTTTTATCCAGTATTTGAGGAAATAGTCCTGCTGATGGTCAGTTGCAAAGCACTAACCACATGAGTGTACACCTTCGCTAGAATATAAATGTTAATTTCCATGCTCTTTGGAATGTTTATGTCCAGAATGTCTTACCTGCTGCTTCTCAGTTTTAAATAGTCACTCAATGTTGTCATGAAAAAAGTTACATTTAATGGAGTTCCGTCGGGTGAAAATACTGGGTGTACGGAAGTAAAATTGCTCAGTAACTTGCTGTAGTTCAGAATTGATAATTGCTTCTTTGCAATGCAGATGAGGTTCTTGTTCTGACAAACTGCTGAAAGCAATAAAATGCATCCATTTGAAGGTATTTTCTTCGCCTCCAAGGGTTATTTAAAAGCAAAGTCTTGCAGTAAATATTTGCAGCGTTAGGTCACTTACATGTACGTTATTTGCATGTTTAATACTTTGTTTAATCTGGTAGTTTAAATTGTACGATGTTGTCTCAGCGTTTCTGCATGTTAAAAAAAGAATATATGGAGTCCTTTGAAGCTATATTCAAAGAACAATATGATACCATTCATCGTTTGGAAACGAACAAACTGAGGAATGTTGCCAAGATGTTTGCTCATCTACTGTACACCGATTCAATTCCCTGGAGTGTAAGTAAAATAGGCTATTGTCCCAGATTTCTTTTGCAATAATTAATCTTCAGGATTCAGAAATAATATATAATACATTAGCTTTAGCATTTATTCTACAATTTGGAACTACTCTTATAGCAAACTGGAATATTTTAAGTATCTTCTCAGACACTGTTGAACAATTCTGTGTTTCACCATCTCTTCTTTCTGCCCCTGTGCATCATCCTCCTCCCTTCTCCATTCTGAAGTACTTTATTTAAGCTGTTATTTTATGGAGTTCAGCTGGAATTGGTTGATTAAAATGTACTTTTTTATAATTTGAACTTTTAATTAGCAATATAAATAGCAGAACTCTCTCTAAGAAATAAGCCTAAAGAAACCTTCTAAAAATATCCTTATATGTTAAATTAAGCTTTATATAATTACAAAAAAACCCCTTACAATACTGCCATTTTGTGATTTAAGTGCCAAATAAATAAAAGTAATCTTGCATTCTGAGGTATTATAACATTAAAAATGAAGAAATGAGTATCGAGGTAACTTCTCTTTACATAGTGTTTTATTCTTGTCTTATAGCTTCATCTAGTTGTCATTCTTCAGGCACAAACAAGTCAGTCCAAATATTTAGTATCTTTAGAACTTAAGTCCCAAATCTTTTAACTACCCAGAAGTTCACACACCTGATTTTTCTCTTATGGAGCTTTTCTGAATAAAATAAATCCCTGAAGAATTACTAGCATAAATATGATCAGAAACTGCTCCAAGGTGGTAAAAAAGAGGAAGAAAGTTTTGACTAGGAACTACCAAAAACCAAACCAGTATTTCTTACTAGTTATTTCAGGAGGACAAAAATCTTTTAAGATACATAAAAAATGTATGTTTAAACTTAAGGGTAGTTTCTAAATATTTTTCTAAACATTTTCAGGTCCTTGAATGTATAATACTGAGTGAAGAAACTACCACATCCTCCAGCAGAATTTTTGTCAAAATATTCTTTCAGGAACTCAGTGAATATATGGGACTTCCAAATCTAAATGCAAGATTAAAAGACGAGTAAGTTGAAACTTTATTTTCAAAACTGTAAATTTAATTATTTCCTTTATCTGAAAAAGTACAAGTAAGAACTCTCTTCAAGGTCAGCTAGGACTGCAGTTCAGTAGCTGCAGTGCTTCAAGAATAAGTTCATGTATAGATGCAGTCATTGCAGAGTTGCATTAAGTTGAGTGTGTTTACATCAGTTTGGGTTCAAGTGTGTGCACGGCTGTGTGCAAGAGGTATCTTTGTTTTCCCCCAGTGATAGTTCAGCTTGTATAAGAATTTTCCAAGTACAAGTCCATTTTTATGTATTGTCAGCTGTACGGCTGTGTAGTAAATGTTACTGTGGCTTCTTTTTCTGAGAAAACTTAGAAAAAAGCACATAACTATTAATAACAGTTTTCCTAAGATTAGTTGCTTATCTTTAAGTATCGGATACACATTATTTTAGCCTGTATGTGATTTAAGGCATTGTATTCTGGCCATGTTCCTTTCAGTTGCTTCAGCTATTTCCTAGATGTTAAAATTTCTTCCACATGGGATGAAGAATTTAGCAGATGCTTTAGCTCCTGTATACTTAAACATGAATCTATACTTAGGGACCTGTTCGATGGGATTTCAAAATAGGTACTCAGATCTTTGAAGTTCATGGTCAACAAGTATTATCCTTTGCTGTCGCAGGCTACTGCAATTTCATGTCTCTCAGGGCTTCACAAAATCAGGCTTTCTGTTGTCATAATCTGACAGCATGTATGTAATCAAGTGTGTGAAGTTTGTTTTCATAGAAGAGCAATTTTTTAAATAGTGTTTTGATGAGATACATCACAGATACAGACAACTAAAGTATTGAAAAATGCATGGAGAGAAAACTTGCTGTCCTATGGAGAGCCATACGGTTTCTTTTTCAGTTTATTAATATCATTGAAGATTAGTGAGAAGCTTGTATATTGTTTAATTTAAATGTTGTTTTTTTCATCAGAACATTGCAGACTTTCTTTGAGGGATTATTGCCTCGGGATAACCCAAGAAACACTCGCTTTGCCATCAACTTCTTCACTTCTATTGGCCTTGGAGGACTAACGTGAGGAACACTTTTCTGATCTGATATTTACTTTCCTTCTCTCCCCTCACCCTGCCCAAAAAAATAAAAAAAACCCAAAACCAAAAATACAAACAAAAACCACTAATAGAAAAACGCTTTATGTCAATTAGGGACGAATTACGGGAGCATCTGAAAAACGCACCAAAGATGATAATGACACAAAAACAGGATGTTGAGTCATCAGATTCCTCTTCATCTTCAGAGACGGACTCTTCCTCAGATTCTGATTCTGACAGCAGCAGTAGTAGCTCAGAGTCATCCAGCAGCAGTGACTCCTCATCTAGCAGTGGCGACAGCAGTGACTCAGGTACTTAATCCCTGGCAATAACTACTTACTTCTCTTTATTTACTTCTATAGACCTACTCATTTCTGTGTATACTGCTTTTGAGGAAAAAAAAGCTATAGACAGTGTTAGTTTCTCTGCTTTAAAACTGATAATTTTTTTAAACTTACAAGTTTTAAAATATTAAGTATTGCTCATGGAAACTTATTTTAGAATTTAGAAAAACTGCGTTCTGTTTCTAGAGACTTAAATATTTGAGGAACGTTGTTTTGTGGAATACTTTTTTTACACAGTTGATACCTGTTTCACAGTACTATCATTTCAGTTTGGTGGAGGATGGAGGGATTGGAGTCTCTCCCTGTTAAGATCTCTGTGTGTTGTTTACTGGTGAACTGTAGAGACTGTCTACAACTTTTTTGGCTTGGCTTGATTGAGCTTGATACTAGTTGAGTCCTTCCCTGTAATATGTGCCTCTTGTTGGGTCAGAACTGACATTGATCCATTCTAGCAATATGTTTGAATTTTATTTTCCTTCCAAGTCTCCAATTCTTATTCCTCTTTCTCAGGAAGAGTTTGTGTGGTAATATAGTGAAGGCTCTTGTCTGTAGAGAAATCTCCAAGGAAGAATTAGCCTTTGACAACTAAGTATGTTGCAGTTTTATACGTTATAATTAGTGTTTAACATCTTATACCATCCTGCTGATGCAGAACCTTCTATTTGACATGCAGTGTCACAAACATTGCTTAATCTATAATGTACATGCTAGGGTGAAGTAGTGTGTGCAGCCTCCCCCATTGTATGTAACGTGAGCAGATGATAACACAGCAGGACTTTCTGTAGTACAGAAGCTTGCTGATTCAAAGTTAATTTGATTTATTACATGCCTTTGAAATGACAGTGTTGATTAATAAAAGAAGTGTGAACTGCTCATGTTTTTTGAAATGCATTTTTGTTCTCCATTGCAGTCGTACTGTACGACGTTTGATGTATGTGTCATCCCACAAATGACGACAAAGCACGAGAGGAGGGCACAGTTAAGCAGGGTCAGAGGAGGCGTTAGTTCAGCACAGAGCCAGATGGCTCCTGCACAGACAGCTGCAGCTCTGCTGAGCTGCTTGGTAGGGACCAGAGAGGCAAGTCCTTAGTGACAACCTGCAGTCTGCCAGTATGAATGCTTTATTTTTGGAAGTTTAGGACCTTCCCTTTTACTACATGTCCTTTATCCATTCAGGTATGCATTCATTGATATTTGCATTTTGAGATCTTTGCAGCCTGGCTTTACTTTCTTTTTAAAACCACTATCAGTAGCTGTTTCAGAGTGCCTTTGTTTCCCCATGTGTTGGAGACTTTTTCCCCTCTGCTGCTGTTAATCTCCACTAACTGATAAACTTTTCCAGGAAGCAATTGGGAAAGTAAATGATTGAGAGACTGGATGGTCTGGGAAAGGTGATCTTTCTTAAAAAATTGAGTGCTTTGACATAGGACTTTACAACCTATGCCTGGTCTCTTTGTATCACGTCAGCAAGAGGATGATGGTGGGTAGAAGTTCTCAAAAGGCAGGCATCACTCGCAGATAGCTAAGGGATAAAAGTCCTGCTGGTGGACACTTGTACGATGGCAGCCACATCGGTACAAATTTGAGTTGTTCCCTCTTAAGCAATTAACTGGGGACAAAGAGGGGGAAAGCAAGGTTGTTGGCATTTTGTCAGTACGTAGGATTTAAAATCTTTTCAGGTATGAAAGCACATCTTACATAACCAAAAAAATTCTTGGATCAACAGGTTTGCAGATCTTATGTTATATTTCCATTTAATTCAATCTTATTCCTGTAATTTATTATAATTTCAGATGTTCCTAAAGCCAAAAGAAGGAGAATGCAAAAGAAAAATAGAGAATCTGATAAAGTTTCCGGGAAAAAACAAGAACGGAAAAGGAAATCATGTGAAAAGAAAATGAGAAGGAGGCAGCAAGAGGAAAGAAGTGATACTGAGAGCAAATCAGAAAGAGATTACCGAAACTGGAGAGAATCACACAGGAGAGATGACGTATCAAAATACCACCACAGAGAGGAGTCCAATGGCAGAGATGGTTACCATAGTGGAAAGGATAGGAACCATGAAAGAAGTAAGGATCTAGAAAATAAACACAGTAATTCAAAGCCAAAGAAAGCAGAGAGAAGAGCTGCTTTGTCTGATGATGAAAATTACAGACATTGGAGCAAAGATAATGGACATCATAGTAGAAATAGAGAGAGGTCAAAATCCGCAGAGAGAGCCCATAATACTTCAAGTCCAAGAGAGGAGGAGCAAGGTGACCGATACAGAAATGGCTCAGAGAAACACCGAGAGAAGTACAGCCGTTACTCTGACCAGTACAGAGAATCCAGGAAGAACGAGGACAGACGAAGGGAGAATTCCCCACACAGACGAAAATAATACCTAACCAGAATTTGAAAGAAATGTGCGTTTCTGAGCTGTTAAAACTGTATTTTAAAATCTATTTCTGAACTTTCTTTAAAGAAAAAAAGATTTTTGTACAAAGTGATAGTTTGCATTTGTAAATTTTATCAGACTTTTTCAAATTTTCAGTACTGCTTTTTTATAACTATTGCATTGAGTCTTTCTGTTGAAGCTGTTTATTTTGTGAATAAAACCATTATGATCTCAGAGAAATGGGTGTTTTTGTCACTTAGTTTTCAAGTCCTGGTAACTTTATGGTCTAAAAACCATTGGTTTTTACCTTTGCTTGTTAATTGAAAGTCAGATATTGAGTCTGGGCTGATAGATGTAAACATGTCAGATTACCATGTGAATGTTACGTGAGAAAGCTTTATAGAAGTTTTCAAACATCATCACGAGTGCTTCAGGTATTCTTTAGCTGTGTATTCTTTCACTTCACAAACATGAAAGCAAGTATGACCAATTCTTCAGGAAATAACTTGGTTGATTTTTATTTTTTTTCTTCAACAGTTAAAAATTGGAAAGGCAATATTGCTGTTTTAAATGTCACATTTGAAAATGTGTCAACTTGTTCTGCTACTTTTCACAATGTTTTTTAATATTGTAACATTCTGAGCTTAGTTACACTTCTGATCTTCTAGATAGGAGCGGGGGGGAAAAGTTGGTTGGGTTTTTTTAACTATGAATTTTGAAGTTGAAAGGCATAGACTTCAACTCCAGCCCTATGAAGGAAGCATTTAGGGGACATCTTTCCTAGTGATTAAAAAAATAAGAGGTGTGTCAAATCTTTTTAGATGTTTTGAACCATGTGGCCTGAAGTACTCAATTTTATTGGAAGCCAAGTTTACCAAAAAAAAAAAACCTCAAACCAAAAAATAGTTGCTGCAGCAGATTGTTTTATAAACTGTGCTGCCTGAGGTCATTTGAAGCAAGTAGCTCAACATTGGCTGTGTGAGTAGTGAATAGTTGAGGTGCTCATTAGTAACTAACGACAATTTTGAAAGTCTTTCAGCATGGCATAGGTAATAGTGTGGATGTGGTCAGTAGGAAAGACAGGTGATAGTTGTATGTTGTGCAGTTGTTGATGCTGTAAGACTATGCCTTTTTACTGTATGAAATGAATACAATTGCTGGGCATATAAGAACTTGCACATTTCATGTGTAGATGATATTTCATCTTGTATAAAACATAGAAAATATTTAAGCTGTCTTACAACAGAAGATAGAACAATTCTTAAGGAAGTAGACAAGTTCTGCCTGAATCTTGTCACAACATTTTTCTTAGAAAAATGTCACATTTTTAGGTTCTTTTCTGTATTTAACAGAATTTGTTTCTGCAAGCTTTCATTTTGATTTTCAGTCAAGAGCACTTCATGTAAAATAAATTCATATTGCAGAGAAAAAATAAGGTTGCTATCTTGTTACACCACACAACTAAAAATGCTTTGGTGGCATCATGATATGTTGTTTACAGTGGGGTGGCGTTTTGTCCAACGCACTTCTCGCTTTCAAAATTATTTGTGCATTTTGGCAGCGTGGGTTAATTCCAGGAAAACTTCACTTGAAGGAATGCTTTCTAAAAGGAATTCTTCAGCAGCTCCCCGCAAACATTACTGAAAATTATCTGTGTTTCATAACAGTGTGATGGCAGAAGCTTACTTAATTTATCTAGACTAATACACCACTTACAATATTAGGAGTTTGGTAGCATAAGTTTTATTAACCCATAATCTCTGCTCTGTTCAAGTCAAAAAGCTTGTTAATTACATCTTTAGTAAGTGGCAATATATTGAAACAATGGATGTGAAAACGTAAAACATTTGTTAAAAAAATAAAGCACTTGATCTCTGACATGCTGATCAGGAAATGCCAGCTTAAACATCTTCAATTTTGTGTTATTTCATACTAACTGATAAAAATACTGTTCTCTTTGATGGTGAAAAATGGGAGAGGGTGAGATTAGGACTTGAGCTGGGCTCTTTGCTGCATTTACAATTTCCAGGTGTTTTGTGGGTTTGGTGGGTTGTTTTGCGTGTGTGTTTTTTTTTTTTTTAATATTAATAGGCCATTCTATTAAATACCTAGTAAAAATAGCTGTTATTTTTACCATTGCTTCTGTGAGCAGGTTAATACTAGCTGACAGCAGCGGGACAACGAGCAGCAGTTGGACATGTGCACGAAAACAGAAGCGTGCTTGGAAGACCGGTGTGCCAGGAGGGTCCGCAGCCTAGCGCCGGGTCGGTGATACCCAGTGCATCTCCAGTTCGTAGCAGGCTGGCGCTTAGGGGCAGTCTGAGCCTCTGTGCGTCTCTGTATGAGGCCTCGCCCATTAAGTGGCCTGATTCTTTAACCTGTTTTTGGGGAACTCTGCAGCATCCTGTGCCAGGAGTTCCTGGATTTCACAGTACCACACATTGTTCTCATAACTCTGCCTGATCGCTTTGCTACTTTCCGGTGTGTTTTCTGAATAATGGTGTGTAGCTGTTTCCTGCTTGCTATCTTGTGTGTTGTTTTTATAGACCTAAACCTGAATGTTCTTTGCCATTTCTTCTCCAGAAATTAAAATTTAACTGTAATCTCTCCTTGTGTGGGACTGCTCTAAAACCCTGATTATTCCTTCAGTCCTTTGTTTGGTTTACTCTATTCTTTATAAAGGAAAAGAGGCCAAAATACTACGTAGTATTCAAAGTGAGGATGTTCCAGGAGCTGCATGGTGATGTAAGAGTTCAGGGGGTTTGTTTTCAGTCCATCCTCTGGATTGCTGTGGAGCGGAATGATCCACCGTGATCCTGGCCTTTCTTTGCTCAGCATTAACAGCTGGTTGTAGACTGTGCACAGCAGTGGAGTGACTCGTGCACCTAGTCTAGAATTAGCTCTGGGGCTCTAGGTTGTGTTTTGAATTGCAGTTTGACTGAAAGACTTGAGTTAGAGGTTCTGTGATGTTCTTCACTGTTCTGCTTTTTGAACAAAAAAAACACCTGGGACGGATTTTGTGATGACCTGTTCTGTTCTTGTAAGCTTAAGGTTTGCCTTTCAAACGTGGTTGTAATATCCAGGACTACAGACACAGTAAGGGGACTGCATCCCTTGTGCTAGGACTCCCTGGCTGAATTTGTGGTGGCATTAGGTGTTTGTAGAGGGGAGATGTGGATTCACCATCCACGTAGGAATTAGTTGTGACTGAACTGTTTGTGGTGTTTGTAAGAACAGAATTCTGTTCTGTAATTATATCTGGAGCAAGGTCTGTGAAGCTTGATTCTATATATGCTTGAGTCTGAAGAATTATTTTTTTTTGGGGGGGACACCTACCACATTTAGGCCATATGTTTTATAAATTGTCAAAATATGACCTTGTGGTGTGAAAGCAGTTAGATAAATTTTTGGACAAAACTATCCAGTCTCTGTGAAAAATACTTTTAAATTGTCATTAACAGATGATTTCCAAAGCAATTGTTGTTGCTCTTTAAGCAATATTGCTGTCTTCAAATTCTAGATAGTTCATCCACAGTTCTCCCTGGGAATAGGAACCTGACTGCAAAAATGTTTTTCTGTTTGCATTGTTCATGTTGAATGAATATTATTTTAACCTGGGAGTATGGTGTTCTGTAATTTACTTAAGGCAGCAGTAGCATAACTCTTAACTTTTGAATGCAGGCTGTAGTCTAGAATAGCTGGGCACATGTCCACCACCAAAATACACGAGCTAGGGTGGGTGCTTCAAGCTCCAGTAGCAATTTAAGTGGCTCCCTCTCATTAAATTTGTACAGTTTTATGGATTTAAAAAAAGAACTCATCTTCATTCACCATTCTTAAACTACTTTGAATTATCTTTCACTGTTGAGGAAAGCATAAGGCTAGTTTTCTTGGAGAATCTCAAAAAGCAAGAGTTTATTATTATGTTAGCAGAGAGAACTGACTCCAGTTACTCTAATAACATTCAGAGAGCAGAGAAACTTGTCCTTCAATTTATTTTCCATTAGATAAGTTAGTGGGTTGTTTTAAAAGCTTTTTTTATTTGTCAAAATATTTATTTAAGAAATGGTGAACTCAACATGCAGAATAAAAGGGTGTTTTCATTAAAACTCTACAGAAAACATGTATTAGTAGGTTAAAAGTGGCATGAGCAAAATATTACTTTATACGCTGGAAAACCTTGAGGTCAGTTCAGAGATACTCTGCCTTTTTTTTTTTTATGTTTTCCTCAAGCAAGTCTGTAATTTGGCTGAGACCAGTTAGGGATTTTATTTTCTTGTCTACGCCTCATGGCTATCATCAAGCATTTTCTTCTAACTTAAAAAAAAAAAAAAAAAAAAAAGGAGGGAGGGAATGCAGCTTAAAACTTTAGTGTTGATGGGGAAAATGGTTTGTTAACCCATAAAACAGACAAGTCCATTAGGAAAATAAGCTGTCACGTTCTGATTTTGTGTAAGCTCTGTCCATCTGGTGTTAGCTATTTCCATTATTTTGTAAAAATGAAGTGGGGACCAAAATTCTTCCTGAGGGAGAAAATGCACTGCAACACTTCTTAAAAGAGGGCGGTGGGGGAAAGAGGAAGGGAGTCAGAGGATGCAAACTCCAAGAAACAGGAGAATTTGATGTCGTGGTGCTTGTGGCAGGTAAGGAGGTGAGGGCACAGCTGTTCTCACAGCAAGGAGCCACCGATACAGGCATGTGGGTGCAATGCTAATCACTTTTAGCTTGTTGACTTGTATTGCTCCTTAATTACCCAACTGAAATGTGCGTTCTCCCTTTAAAATTGCTGGTCCCTTGGCTTTTTTTTTTTTTTTTCAGTTGCTTACCTATTGCTTTTGGAGCAAATAGCAATTCACGAAGGGTCGCAGTTGGGTGGCTGACAGCAGCCCTTTGTTTTGCTGCTCCAGTCTTAGTGAGAATGCCATCTTCCCTCTCTTACCACCACCCCTTACTGCTGGGAGTGATAACGCTTCTTCAAGGACATGCATGACAACAGCTCTCCC